TATTATTTGATGTTTTGTGAATATTATTATTCATGTGATTAAGCCTGATATATTATTGTTATTATCTGTGGCATTATTCAGTAGAAATAAATGATGGTTGTGCTGCACTACATATGCATCAGAAATACAGTGGTGTTTGGAGTGTGTGTGTGTCGTTTTAGATCTATCTAAGGGGTGGGAGAAGGCTTTAGATATATCTGAATAAAATGTGGAATATATTCAAGTGACGGGAGCAGAGCTTGAATATATTAAGGTGATGGGAGCAGGGCCTCTAATGATAAGTGAAAGTTCAGAAATTCGTAAACAAAAGAAAAATGGGTTAAGGGACGGATGGGCGAGAGTTCATATTTTAGGGTATTCGGAGCCACAGTGGTAAAACACATGGTATGGGACATGCAGGCTTGTTGCCCTAGGATATGAATTAGTGGGATTAGAAGGGAGTGAGTTTATGACATCATCGCATATGTAAATTTATTTATCTGGTCTGAGTACATAATTATCATATACCTTGTGTTGCTTGATGCATGACACTTTGATTAACTGTGATAGCTAACTTTGAGGAGTTTGACAGTACTCTACTAGGCATTAGAATGCTCATACCCTAATAGATTGTGCAGAATTAAAGAAGAAGTTTGAGGAAGCGGGTTCAACTAAGCTGCCGGGCTTTTATTGTTGTTTTGTGTAATTAATATTTGTAAGGAGTCAACCGTTTGTTAAAGATCCTAGTGTTTAGCTAACTACAAACTACTGCGACTCTGATTTTGTAATGTTAAGTAAATTTGTAATTATTTGTGGCTCTATTTTTCATCATATCATGGTTGTAGGATTTTATTCTTATGACTATGGTATGACTCACACCCTGATTCGGGAATATTCCTTGTTTTCGAATCGGGTCGTGACACTCACAACACACTTGATACTCTTGATACTCCCTTGATACTCTCAAACATAAAGTGGATACAACGCCTATTTATTGGCCATAATATTAACTCAACATTAAACATAATCATAACAATTATATCCACTAAACCTCACATTAACTTCAACTCATAAACTAGAAATAATAGCTAAACCCTTTAGATTCTAACTTTTTATTTCCTAAACTTCTAACATTTGAAATTACCCCAACAATCTCTCCCATAATTTCAAAGCTTATTAACGTAGATGCTTTCCCCCTTACTCGTCTTCCATGTTGCTTATGTTCACGATACTTTGAGGCTGGCCAATACCATTTTCTTCTGGATTTTCATCTTGTCTTAAGAATTCCAATTTCTAACTCTAGATCCATACTTGATCTTGTCACTACTACAATTTTCCCTTGTCCTGGCAACCCTTTGTGGTCAGTAAAAACCCCAATACTGACGGAAATTCGTCAGTAATGGCTTCCTGACGAGTGCAGCGACGAAAATAAGTATAGTCTAAGTCCCGTCAGTATTACTATTACTGACCAACTTTTGCAACTTATTCGTCAGTAGAGGTGTGTCTCTGACACAAGTCATAAAGTGTTTTACTGACAAAACAAATAGCCACTATTAAGCAAACTTTTGTCAGGATTATTATTTTAGGATTGAGTACTAGAGGCCAAAGATTTGTCAGTATTATTTTTAACCAAAAAAAAAAAAAATTTCAGTCAATTTCAAGACCTTTCATCTCTGTCGAATGCATACCTCTTGCCAAAGCTCTTTAGCCAGTACCTTGTATGCTTTCAGCGATGCTTTACAAGAGAAGTTAAAATGACAATGACAAATTCTTGCTCTTCTGTAAGAGGTTGCAGGAGAAGGTTACAGACTTACAGACTCAAATTTTTATAGTAAGATGCCGAATTCCTAATATAATATGGGCATTTTTCTTTCATAAAAATTTAATGGATACTAAAAATGTAATAACAATTATAAATACTCATAGATTGAACCATTCAACCACCATATGCTTACATATTTCTGCTCAGCCACCGAGTTAACCCATGATCGATCTTCGTCACGCCGAGTATGCTTATCTTGGAAAAACCAAATAGGATCGGGGTCTTCACCATGTTTCTTATTCTTAGCATGCAATCAATAAAATAAAAAAAGATAATCAATTAGCTAACACAACCTCATATGCTCAGTATTTAAATATAGTAAAGAGTAAACATTCAAGTGTATCATCAAAACTTACATATTGTGCTTTGCTGCGAGCATAAGACTTTGTGCCAGATGTGTGATTCATTGTTTGTTTACTCCGATTTTCAGCATTTCTTTTAGCTTGTTCCTTTTATTAGCAAAAACAAAACAGACTTAATCATTGCACAGATTATATATACTGAGTGTTGTGTAATAATACGTACTACAATCTCATCTTTTTCCCAATGTTCAACCAACACCCGCCATTGATCTGGGTCTACACGAGAATCCCCACATTGCCATCGTCTTTTACTTCCTATGAAAGGCTTATAATAAGCTTTCTTCAAATCACTCTTGAAACTTCTCCACAATTTTTCAATATTCTTCATTGTTACATTCTTGAAGACATGAATCATAGGTTGTTGTTCAGGACGAAATTCAATGGTGCCCTGCATCCACAGTAAGGTAGTCTTACATCAACCTGAAATATACCTATTAAACTCAATAATTTTAGGAATAACAAACCCGTAGAGTGTCCCAACATCAAGTTTGCAGGAGTCTGGTACTTTTTCCCATTTTAAATACTTGATCGGAATTAGATTGGCATCCCGCGCTAGAATACCCATGTATCTAGAAAAATGGGGACTATTATCACTGATAACTCTGCCAAATGGAGATAAATCAACCGACTCTTTTTTGTTATTTAGAAACCAGTTGCATTTCCCTTGACCCCGACCTTGCTTCACCTCCTTGCCTACATGAAAAGTTAATTTTAACTAATCAATACAACAAGAAAATAATAAGAAACTACTGTAAGGTAATAAGTTTCTCACACATTATTCCCATGAAAAATACTCATAGCTATTTGGACATGATGTGACTGTGAAACGTCCCATATTCAATATATTTGTCTATGATTAAAACATACCAGTTTATTAAAATAAAAATAAAAAATAAAAAACAAACAGACCAGTAGCACTTGTAGAACCATCTCCCTCTAGACCATCCCCCAAGTCAGCGTTGGGCCCTTCTTGTGAACTATCTCGAGAACTGTTCATCTAAAAAATTTGACATACATAACAGTGAAGGGGTAACAAATTGATCAGACATCATTGGTAAAAGAAACTAGTACTTCAACATTTCAATACAAAACAATCTACTATATAAATTCTTGTACAATATTCTCAAAATTACATACTCCATTTAAGCACAGAGCTCATCAAAATACATGAAAAATTCAATACTCCATGTCATCATAAAGTTCATCCTCGTTTTCAGTGGAGAGATCATCTGAAGACTGTACATCTTCTTCATCCTCATTTCCGGGCTCTAATAGACGACCATTTTTAAAAAAAAACAGTCATCTTTACTTCACAATAGATGACCCTTTTTAAAAAAAAACCGTCATCTTTACATATAATAGATGACCCTTTTTTAAAAAAAAACCATCATCTTTACATATAATAGACGATTCTTTTTATAAAAAAAAAACGTCATCTTTACCTATAA